TTATTCATTCATCTGCTAATGGACACTGGGTTGCTTTCAAATCTTGGCTATTGTTAATGACTGCAGTGAACATAGGGGTGCATATATTCCTTCAAATTAGTGTCTCAGATTTCTTCAAATAAGTTCCAAGAAGTAGAATTGCTGGGTCATAAGGCAGTTCCACTTATAATTTTGAGGTCACGCAGCACAGCTTTCCACAATGGCTGTACCAACCCACATTCCCACCATAGTACACAGGGGTTCCCTTTCACCACATCCTCACCAGCACTTGTCAGTTGTTGATTTATTAATTATAGCTATTCTGAGTTGATATCTAATTGTGGTTTTAAACATTTAAAAAAATATTTTATTGATTTTTTACAGAGAGGAAGAGAGAGTTAGAAATGTCGATGAGAGAGAAACATTGACCAGCTGCCTCTTGCACACCCCCTACTGGGGATGTGCCCACAACCAATGTACATGCCCTTGACCAGAATTGAACCTGGGACCTTTCAGTCCACAGACCGATGCTCTACCACTGAGCCAAACCGGTTTTGGCCTAATTGTGGTTTTGATGTACATCTCTCTGATGTTTAGTGACGTTGAACATTTTTTCATATGTCTAGTGGCCTCTTTGGAGAAGTATCTAGTCAGGTCCTTTGCCTATTTTTTAATTGGATTGTTTGTTTGTTTGTTTTTGGTGTTGAGTTTTACAAATTCTTTCTAAATTTTGGATATGAACACCTTATCAGATGTATCAGCAAATATGTTCTCCTACTCAGTGGGTTATCTTTTCATTTTGTTGATGGTTTCCTTTTCTGTGCAAAGATCTTTTAGTTTGATATAGTCCTATTTGTTTGTTTTTCCTTTTGTTTCCTTTGCCCAAGGAGCTGTATCAGAAAAAAAAAAAAGAAAGAAAAATACTGCTGTGAGAAATGTCTCAGATTTTACTGCCTATGTTTTCTTCTAGGATTTTTATGGTTTTGAGTCTAACATTTAAGTCTTTAACACATTTTGAGTTTATTCTTTTGTATGGCCTAGTTTCTTTTTATTTTTGCAAGTATCTGTCTAATATTTCCAACACCCTTTATTGAATAGACTATCTTTACCCTATTGTGTGTTCTTACCTCCTTTGTCAAATATTAATTGACTGTAAAGACATGGGTGCTCCGTAACTATTTAATTGAATGAAAGAGTAAATGAATTTTCAGAGCAGCAACAAATGAAATCCCAAGGATAGTTTTCAATGTTAAGAAAAAAAGAGGGCAAAGGGCAAATCTTCGGGGAAATATTTATATTGAGGGCCAAAGAGGCATTCTGAAGGAAGTGAAACCTCAGCCCCAGTTAATTAGGCACGAAGAGAACCGCCATGCACTGGGGAACCTAGCAAGGGAAGCGTGAAGCTGGGCTCATGTCTCTGCCCCAACTTTAAGGATGTTTTCAAATTGCAAACCTGAGCACACACGGGAAACCTGGACAGTCAGGACAAATCAAGCCCCAGGGGTTGATCCTGTTATCCCGAAAGTCTCCTTTAAAAGTGGCTCAGACTCAGATCCTGAGGCCCCAGCACTGCTCAGAGCACCGGGGCCCCTGAGCTGTGACAAAGCACAGCCCCCGTCACCCTGGGAATCCCCGGGGGCTGCTTGTGGCTTTCCTTCACAAGTCAAGGCGTGATGCTTAAGAAAACAGTCAGATGCTGGAGAGTGACCTCTTTTATTAGGTTCACCATCTTCGCCACAGAGACACCATAGTGTTTGCCCATAGCCTGAAACCCTCAAAGGCAGTAGTGTTGAAAAGAGGGAAGGCCTTCGGGTCTCTTTGTCGCCATTAATCCTGGTCCCGCTGGTCTCTCTCCCTTTTGCATCAGAAAAGCTTGCTTGTGTTTTTCTTTTTAAGACAGGGAGAAAACAGCTGTGTGGGATTTGAGGATGGGATTTTAATGGTCACTGAAGACACACAAAAGCTTTGCGGTGATCACCAAGGGTTGTGGGGGCAATTGACTCCTTTGTCCGGGGCAGCCAAACACACTGGCTGCTCGAGGAGAAGAGAACAGACATGTGAGTGAGGTCTCTCCAGGCAGGTCTTCAAGCACATTTGCAAAGAGCTGTTTCGGGCATCTCTTCCTGCCATTTCAGAATCACTTTTTAGGGTTGAGCTCATTTTTATCTTGTGAAAAGAAACAAGTTGGTGTGGAAGGTGCTTGGCCTGGGTTATTTCTGTAGGCCTTTCTCGCGGGGAAGGAAAGTGGAAGCTGTGAGTGACAGTATGAGTTTGTTTCTGAGAAGCGAGCCTTTCACCGGGAGAGAAAAGAGCTGGTGCCCTCTTTCCGCAGGGCAACCCCAGGGGCATTGCTCAGCCCTCCGCCCAGCTGAGAAATTGCAGCAGATGTGGGCTATTGTGAGGTTTCTCAGAATGTGAGCGTGAAAAGGCATTGGGGGCGGGCAGGGGGGTTAAATAGTTCTAAAGAGAACTGGACACCCAGAGCGGTGGGAGCCCCTCTTCTCAGTGAGAACCGGGGCCACTGCTGTCCGCCCGGAGGGGGTCCATCTTCTGCCAGAGGATCTCGGAGGGAACAGACCATGCGGACCCGACGGGAAGTGACAATCCATGGGCACTTCCCCTTTCGGTGAATGGAGTGCCGTGGAAACAGCTGTTCCCAAAGGGAAACGGCTTGGGCTCGAGGGGTTCCAGGCAGCCTCGGTTTCATTTACCTTCTGCACATCTTTATGACAGTTGTTTTGTGAGAGGAGTGAAGGGATTAAGCTCTTCTTTACCGGCCGGCTGTGGCCACTCGGGTCGTCTGGTGGGTAGCCAGGCGGGACACAAAATAAAAAGTCATTCATTCTTTTTAAAAATATAAATATTTTTAAAAATATATATATTTTAAAATATATATATTTTATTGATTTTTCACAGAGAGGAAGAGAGAGGGATAGAGAGAGAAACATTGATCAGCTGCCTCTTGCACACCCCCTATTGGGGATGTGCCCGCAACCAAGGTACATGCCCTTGACTGGAATTGAACCTGGGACCTTTCAGTCCGCAGGCCGACGCTCTATCCACTGAGCCAAACTGGTTTCAGCCAAAGTCATCCATTCTTACTACATAATTCAGCCCAGTTTTTCAGGGGGGATGAACTGAAACAAGAGTCATTATGGAAACCGTTATCCAGGAGGGCTGCATTGAGAGGATAAGTCTGGAGTGACAGGCGTGGTCTGCCACAGAGCGGTGCAGCCTACTCAGTATACCGTTGCCTGCCAAGAAACAACAGTATAATGAGTGTGGGAGCTGTTGTTTTTGGTTCACTTTTAATATTTTTTAAGTATTCATAAAATTAAATGATATGTGACTATTGTAAAAGAAAATCCAAACAATATTAAAAAAGCATTAAGACTTAGCCTTTAGAGGAGACCTTATTGATAGATTGCATTTAAGTGTAAAAATAATATTTGAAATGTGGCTTCTTTTGGCTTAGTATGATATTTTTAAAGGCTTCATTTTTTAAAATTATGGAGTGAAGAATGAAAAGACATTTTTATTACTGTAATAAAGAACTGCATCATGTGTAACCCTAAAAGTATATATGTGGATTGCATTGGTAAGACAGAATGAAAACAGATATCCCCCCTGACAAACATTCAAGAGGTACAATAGCTAATTTTATCATGTGATATTTTGTTTTCTATTTCTTGATATCTTAAGTATAAATTACAATGTGTTTATCCCAGTCAAACTTCCCATAATGCCCCATGGAGAATCCTTGACAACATCTTGAATTGTTATTCAGTCTGCATTTTTGTTAAATGACCCTTTTCTCCCTTAAATTCAAAGCTCTTGATCTCACCTTAGGTGCATTTCACAGACTAGCTGTGGGAATGTGGCCAAATTATTGAAGGCCCCCACATCTCTGTTTCTGTGAAATGGAGCTGACAATAGCACCTAGCTCCTTACTGATGTTTTTAGGAATAAGTGAGATAATGGACGTGGAGTTTTGGGCATGGTGTCTAGTAGATTGTAAATACTGAACAAATCTTAGTCACTAGAAAGGTTATTTTAATGGTTGTGATGATGGTGTTTGAGTATTGTATTAGGGAACTCAATTTAGTGTCCCCTAAATGTAAAAGTTGAATGTAACTCACCTTTACATTCATGTCCTAAAATAAGATATAAGTCCACATTTAACAAACACCACCAAAAATATAATTAAAAGCATAGTTTATTAATTTCCTTGTAGTTTATTCTCCCAGGAGATATTGACAAGGGTTTGCTCTTTGTAACATTTCAATTGTATTATAAATACAATCTGTGCTCTTCCTGAGAGTTATCTGCAAGCCCTGGAGGTCACTCCCCACAGCCACCAGAGAGTGAACTTTTCAGAATAGAGCTTCTGGCTGTATTCCTCTCCTTTCCATGGCTGCTTTACCTGCAGAATAAGATCCAGGTGCCTGGCACACAAGAACTTCTCCAACCTATTCCCAGCCTTCTTTTCTTCCCTCTCTCCTACGTCCTGCATGAAATCTTTACAACCTGCCCCTCTTCCTACCTGGGGGGAGATCCTACTCATCCTTCAAGGCCCAACACAAATATGGCCACCTCCAGGGGGGCCTTCTAGGAAGCCACCAGCCGGAATTAAAAGCACCTTCTTCTCCGCGCTTCCATTACTATGTCTATGTTCAGTGAACGATTCTCAACTTGATCCTTCTTCTAGTGCCAGCCCAGTGAAGTAGGGAGAATTAGCAGGTGCTCGTGCTCAAAGATATTTAGAGCCACTGTGACCCCCGCCCCGGAGCTCATGGCCTAGAGAGAGAGGACCTGTGAATGCCTCTGACGGTGGGTGACAGAGGTCGTGACAGAGGGGTGTGCACAGAGAACCAGGGGTACCACACATTCTGTATTCAGGGGTTCGTAGGGGGAAGGGGGTTGAGGTCAATGGCATCTGTTTTCCCTCATCTCCAGCATTCATGTTGTCCTTCCTTGGCCTCTGTCACCTCACTGACCAGACTGTTTCCCCCTTTGGCTAGTCAGTTGCAGGGCTGGGACTTACTACGATGGATCACAAGAACGCTGCATTTTATGTCCGAATGGAACCTTCCAAAATGAGGAAGGACAGATCACATGTGAGCCCTGCCCAAGACCAGACAATCCTGGGACCCTGAAGGCCCCAGACGCTTGGAATGTGTCTGAGTGTGGAGGTAAGGGTTCGCCTGCCCCTTCTTACCCCACCGAGTCCAGTGTCATTGTTCAGACAGAAGGCGAGGTTCAGACAGACACAGCAACTGCACTTCCGCAGCTGGGCCACGTTGAGTTCCTTGTTGGCTTTCCAGTAGTTCAGAGCCTGACACAGTCTGGGAGATGCTCTGCTGAATAAACAAATGAAGATCTGATAGAATACTGTGGTAGGAAAAAAAAAAAAGGTGTAAACATTGCAATTGCATGCTTCATTCACTGTAAATAAATATACCCCCAGACCTCAGTGATCGCCCAGTGCTAGGGACTATCAAAAGTGCTAAAATGGAGAAAGTAGTTTTCATTCTTTTTCCAGTTTTGGTCTCAAATTCATAGCGTATTGATTTTTTATTTTTAAAAGTACCCATCTGGTTATTTTATAAAATTTTCTGTGAAAAGTTTTTAATCATCTCTTTGAATAAAATGTTCCCTGGAGCCAAGCTCACTTAGGCTTCATGGGCATCTTTTCTATTTATTTATTTATTTATTTATTTATTTATTTATTTATTTATTTAAAAAATATATTTTATTGATTTTTAAAAAAATATATTTTATTGATTTTATACAGAGAGGAAGGGAGAGAGACAGAGAGTTAGAAACATCAATGAGAGAGAGTCATCAATCAGCTGCCTCCTGCACACCCCCCACTGGGGATATGCCCACAACCAAGGTACATACCCTTGACCGGAATCGAACCCGGGACCCTCCAGTCCCCAAGCCGACGCTCCATCCATTGAGCCAAACCGGTCCCGGCTATTTTATTGATTTTTTACAGAGAGGAAAGAGAGAGGGATAGAGAGTTAGAAACATCAATGAGAGTTACTGATCAGCTGCCTCTTGCTTACCCCCTACTGGGGATGTGCCTGAAACCAAGTACATGCCCTTAACTGGAATCGAACCTGGGACCTTTCAGTCCACAGGCAGATGCTCTATCCACTGAGCCAAACCGGTCTCGGCTCTTTCCTATTTATTTTATTGGTAAACATCTTCCTTTCATTAAACGGAAGAAAGACCAGTGGCACCGGCACTGGGCTCGGGTGGAAGGTGTGATCTGACATGGCGATGGGTAGGCGATGTTTGCGGAAGGGTACATGGGGTCCCGCAGCCTCTGCCTCTCCTTCCAGAGACTCCCAGAACCAACTTAGCTCCCACCTGAACACGCCAAACTCAACATCAGCTCCTTTTTTTGGTTTAAAAATCAGATCCTTGGGTTAAGTGTTACTCCTAGCATAACTTTCACCTGCCATGAAAATCTAGAACTAACAGCAAAGCTGATAAGGAGGCACCTTGGGGCATCTGTTCACACTTGTACGTGACCTTATTAAGATATATTTATAGTAATAAGCACATTAGTAGTAATATTAATTGCTAACATTTACTGATGTGCCAGGCATCATGCTAAGTGTATTACATGAATTTTCCATATGGTTGTATCACTACGACAGCTTTAAGAGGTTAAAGTGACTCATTCAAAGTCAGACAGACAAGAAGTAGAGGATTTGGAATCAGACACTAGGTCTGACAGACTCCAGATCCTCCTTCGGGGATGTGTTTGTTAAATGCCATCATATCTACAACTCAGGTAGAAAGATGATCTGAAAACTAATGGTTAGGAATACGAGAAACAACAGCATCATGCCAATGACAAGCTAATTCTTAAGGAACATATACTTTGCCATGCCAGCACAGCCAAGGGTTTGGCAAGCCTGAGGGAGGGCGGCGAAGGATGTAGAAAAGACAAAGAGAATAAGCTGGGTCTAGGTGGATCTTCCGGTGCCTGGCTGAGGCCACAGAGAAAAGATCCAGATAGCAAACTGAGCCTTTATTTTATAGTCAGAGGTAAACAAGATAGTGGTCAACATAGTTACAATGTTCTTGTGAGTTCTACTTGTTTTGGCAGCACTTGCTGTACCTCCCACGGCCTATTAACTACCCAGAAAGGATCTAGGGAGTGTCATAAGGTCAAGCTGAATTATGCTAAGAGGGCTGTGCCCTCTAAGCTGGGACTTGTTTGTGGCTTTGCCAACAGGTCAGTCTGAGACTTAACCCTATAGCCACTCCCTACAATATACTTTTAGAAATCCTTTTGTTTATGACTGTGCTTCTTGTCATAAGTTAAAAAAATAATAATAATAAAGTAAGGTGCTTCAAGTAAAGACCACTGGGTCCCTCTGTCACTGTGGACTAGGTTGCTTGGGTTTAGGGAGACCAGGACACACCTCAGGGTGAGGAGATAAGATTTAGTACCTAACTATAATTGGTGAAACTATCACTGGGGTGTTCTCAGCTGGGTGAGGGTGTACTTCTGGGTCGAATGAGCACATTGACCTGAGAACCCTCTCTCTGGGCTCCTGCATGGCCGGGGCTGCCTGAGCTCCATGCAGTCCCAAGCCTGAAGCACACCCCGCTGCTCCATCCTTTGGAAGCTCGTCACACGTGGCTCCTTGGTCTCCATCTTCGCTCTGTGCTGTGTGGCCCTGAGTGTAAACATCAGGCGCTCACAGGCCACCTGCTCGGGTCCAGCAGCAGGGCAGGGCGGGCTCCTCAGCGAGGTGGGAGCTGAGGTCAGCACCGGCAACAGGCCTGCCTGAAGTCTGATCCCGTTGCCGAGAGACGGGAAAGGGTCTCTGACCGGGGCCCTTGCTCACCCAGGGTCGTTGGTCCCCCCAGGTCTGTGCCAACCTGGCGAATACTCTGCGGACGGCTTCGCACCTTGCCAGCTCTGTGCCCTTGGCACGTTCCAGCCCGAAGCTGGCCGTACTTCCTGCTTCTCTTGTGGGGGAGGGCTCCCCACCAAACACTTGGGAGCCACTTCCTTCCAGGACTGTGAAACCAGAGGTGAGGACGGAGCTTGCCTTTTTCCAGAACCGATGTTCGCTTTTGAGAACCATGGGAGTCTGATAAAGCTTCAGTCAAGCTCGGCCCAGAGGTGCCCTGTGTGGTGTCCCAGCGGCCCAGGGCGGGTACTGCTCCACTCACCCCTGTAGACGTGCAGGGAGCATGGGACCTCCTAGACACAGTCTCCCCCCACCACCTGGGCCCCTTCGGACAGGGCTGACTATAGAGACAAGCAGGGAGAGATGAGCCGGTGCACGTGGGTTCCTCGGCTCCTTCCTCCCAGCCTTCCAATACCTCAGCACCCTTACCTTGCACCCCACTTCCCCCTGAGCCCCACTCCTGCAGCCTCTTGCAGGAATCCAACTCCACACCCGGAGTCAGTTCTGCACCCTCAGCTCTCACACACGTGCCTGCTTCTGCCTGGCTCTGCGTGGACCCTACCTCTGAGGAGACACCCTCCTTTGCTCCCTTTGCTTGTTTCTCAGCGACAGGAGTCACAAGTCCCACCCAAGCTGGCTAGATAGGGACATGAGTGTTGAGTAGCCCCGCCCCCCCCCCCCCCCCTTAGTCAGAAAGTTACTTCCTTTGGGAGAAAAAATTATTACCTAACTGTGAAACCATTTGTGTTGCACTGGATGAAAGAGTCTTTTTTTCTCGTTTGTTTTTCATTTTCTCCCCTCTCCCTGCCCCCACAGTGCAGTGCTCCCCTGGACATTTCTACAACACCACCACTCACCGATGCATCCGTTGCCCGGCGGGGACCTATCAGCCCGAATTTGGAAAAAATCATTGTGTCTCTTGTCCGGGAAATACTACGACTGACTTTGATGGTTCCACAAACATAACCCAGTGTAAAAGTAGGTCTCTCTCTCTAAGGCGTTTAGTCCTGATTACAAGGGCAAGTGCCTGTCCACATGGGGGCAGGGCGTGTGTGTGTGTGTGTGTGTGTGTGTGTGTGTGTATGTGTGTGTGTGTGCTGCTTGCCTTTGGTGCCTGAGGGGAATATTGAAATTCTCTTTCCACTTAAAAATAAAACATGGCCAAAACCAGTTTGGCTCAGTGGATAGAGCGTGGGTCTGTAGACTGAAGGGTCCCAGGTTCGATTCTGGTCAAAGGCATGTACCTTGGTTGCGGGCACATCCCCAGTGGGGAGTGTGCAGGAGGCAGCTGATCGATGATTCTCTCTCATCGATGTTTCTAACTCCCTATCCCTCTCTCTTCTTCTCTGTAAAAAAATCAATAAAATATATTAAAAATAATAAGATAAAATAAAACATGGTCTTTACCGGAGAGAAAGGAGAAAGAAACAGCTGCCATGTCTTCGTCAGAGCTTTCTCGGGAAGGGTCAGCTCTCCTTGGCTGAGCCGCACGCTCTGTCCTCCCTGTGTTGACAGACCTGGGAGTTTTGTGTCACGGTTCCCCTGGCACTTGCACGTGGTGAACCAGGCCTATGAGCACTAACGCTGTGCTTTTGTTTGATGAATGCCTGCCCCTGACCTTGAGTGCTTCCCAGTTAGTGAGAAAGCAGCGCCAGGGACTCCGAAGGCTGGCTCTGCGTGGGGCGTTGGTGTAGCTGGGCTCCCAGCGGGGTCCTGGGCACGAAGGGACAGACTCATCCTGGAAGGGTGTCCTTCCCCGGCCCCGGCCTGGGTGTCGGCTGTTACAGAGGGACGGCTGGGCCTTCCTAACTCATCCTGTTTCCGCTTCCAGACAGAAGATGTGGAGGGGAGCTGGGGGATTTCACCGGGTACATTGAGTCCCCGAACTACCCAGGCAATTACCCAGCCAACACCGAGTGTACGTGGACCATCAACCCACCCCCCAAGCGCCGCATCCTGATCGTGGTCCCCGAGATCTTCCTGCCCATAGAGGACGACTGCGGGGACTACCTGGTGATGCGGAAAACCTGTGCGTCCTCCCCCTCGGCCCCTCCCTCCGTGGCTGCTGGGCAGCCGGGGGTGTGCTCCCAGCGGTCAGTGTGAGCCAGGCCCAGAATGTCACCTTCGCGTTAGAGCGGAGATGGGACAGGAGTTTTTAGAGTTTTCCAGGAAATAAAATTTCAACAAAACCCCCACAGTGAGGCCTCCTGCTGACCCCCAGGTCAGTCTTCCCCTCTGTGTCTCTGGGACCCTCTTCCCCACGGACACGGAGAGTCAGAGAAATAACTCAGCATGTGGGGACTGACCGAGGCAAAGGGCAGTCCAGCCAGGAGGGACCCACCCCCATCCTGACGCAGGACCTAGTGTCCATCGGGACACACTGCCATTAACACAGCTCAGAGGCATGTGCTGAGCGGGCTCTGCAGCCAGACAGCCTGGATCTGAATCCCAGCTCCACCTCTAGCAGTTCTCTGGGCTTGGATATACATTCTGGATTTTCTGTGTCTCAGCTTCCTTATTTGTCAAAATGAGGATAGTAGCTGCTTCCTTATAGGGTTATTACGAGGAAGAAATCAGTTCATATTCATAAAGCAGTTAGAAAAACACTGACATATGGAGCCACCGTGTAAGTATTTGCTATTCTTAGAGGTGGTTACCGTGGCTGAAGTCAGGTGCCGGTTTGATTCCTGACTTTTCCACATACTGGTGGTGGGGCCCAGGTCAGGGTACAGTGTATGCACTTCCCAGGGTTTTCGGAGGTTTCGTGGGATAAAGTTATAGAGGGCGGAGCACACCGCCTGGCCCTGGGAAGCCCGCAGTGAACGGCGGTGCTAATCCCCAGATCAGGGCAGGGATCAAGGGCCCCTCCCCAGCCCCTGAGGAGCGCGGCGGCCTGGGCTGCTGCTGGGGCCTGGCCCGCCTTCCCGCTGCCTCCCCGGGGGCCACACCACCAGATGTGTGGACGCGATTCCCCGGTTTTGGCCCTTAGGACGGCTCCGCTGGGCCCGGAGAGCCATGCAGCACAGCTTGTTATGGTGTGAACCTTTGGAAAGAGTCGTGCCCATGGTCGGCCTGCTTGGTGATGAACTTGAATTCCACCCCCTCCGATTTCCCTTTGCAGCTTCGTCCAATTCCGTGACGACCTACGAGACGTGCCAGACCTACGAGCGCCCCATCGCCTTCACCTCCAGGTCGAAGAAGCTGTGGATCCAGTTCAAGTCCAACGAGGGAAACAGCGCCAGAGGGTTCCAGGTCCCGTACGTGACCTACGACGGTAAGCGCTGGGAAACTCGGGGCGGCTGCTGTGGACAGAACCAGCGCCTGGGCCAGCGGGTGGCTCTCAGACATGCACACATGTTCGGGAGCCCAGGCAGGATGGAGAGGAAGGACACTGCTGACTCACAAGTGCCAAATTTTAAACAGCCATCTGGGGACACAGAGATGCTTCAGAAAAGAAATAAAAAAAGAGTGTGTTTTTATTTCCTTCTGTGGTTCAGGATCGAAAAAACCTAATCCATAAGATTTCTGTTCTGTTACAGGCAGAGAGTCATAGACCAGCGTTATTATTATTATTATTATTATTTTTTGAAGATTACAAAGACAGGCCATTCTGCTTAGGCTAGAAAAGAACGAAGACATCTAATGTTTGGTTTATTCCTCCAGCTCAGTCAGCACTGAGACCAAATTGCTTTGACAAGCCTGTGCTCAGTCTTATACTTTTCACTGAATTAAAATGTTAAAATATTTATAAAGATCATCATAATCACTGTCTTTGAAATTAAGCAGCTTTTGAAGAAATTAGTTTTCCCATACACAATCATATTTAATTCGTAAGACATGAATGATTTCCCCAATTTCAATCTAAACATGTAATTTGGAGTAATAAGGTACAGGTTCTAGTAGAGATTCTCTAATTCATTGGATGGCTCTGGACAAGCCATTCTGGATCTCAGAAGGGGGCCATTGAAGGTGGTTAGACAGGTGCCAAAAGGAGGCCTTTTGGAAAGACAATATTATATGGATTTTCTAAAAACACTTCACATGGTTTTTTTCTAACATGTTCCAAAAGATAGGATTGTCCTCCTTATGCCTGAAGCCATGTCAAACCCAAGACAAGAGCTCTTCGTCTCAGACTCCTAGGTGGACACAGGTGCCTCCCACGTGGCTCTGCTGAGAGAAACAAGAGCCTCATCTACCTGAAAGCAACCAGCTGACCACCTCCCCTCTGTGGAATCAGGAAGGAGCCAAAAACGACACAGAGTCACCAGAATAAGTGTCACCAAGGCTCATATACTTTAGTCTGGCTGTTTTCAACTCTGCCTTTGGGACAGAAGAAACCATCTTGATTTTTGGGGGGTTCTTTTGTTAACCCCTCAACCGAGGATGAGAGAGAGAGAGAGAAAGAAAGAGAGAGAGAGAGAGAGAGAGAGAGAGAGAGAGAGAGAGAGAGAGAGAGAGAGAGAGAGAGTCTAATATGTGAGACTAATGTGAGAGAGACATCAATTGGTTGCCTCCTGAATGCATTTGACCAGAGCTGGGGATCAAACCTGAAACTCAGGTGTGTGCCCTTGACTGGGGCTCGGAACACGTGATCCTTCCGTGCTTCGAGGGCTGATGCTCTAACCCACATGTGTCAAACACAAGGCCCGCGGGCCAAATCCGTCCTGCCAGGCCTTGCAATGTGGCCCGCACCGCGCTGTCATCACTGCACTCCGCTGCGTTTCCATCACAATGACAGTTTATGACTGTTCAGTAAACCATTCGGCCCGCGATTTAGGCTGGATTTTAGATTTTGGCCCCTTCTCTGATTGAGTTCGACACCCCTACTCTAACCACTGAGGACACTGGCCAGGGCACTATCTTAACTTTTTAAAATTTAGATAAAGAACAGGTGAAATGACACACAACCTGATTAGGCCCAGGAGCATGTGTCTTGCAATGCCATAGCAGAAACTAGTTGAAGACAGCTGCTTTGACCATCTATAGAAGCCTGTTAGGTTTTCACTCAAAGTCTACTTCATCTCTTTTTAAAGAACATATATTACGGCAAATTTGATATCTGGTTTCCAAACACAGAAGAACAGATGGGCAGGTGAGACTCTGCCACTGACCTTGGGAGTACAGAGAATTCTGTCATCCTCACTGACATGGATGGAGCATCACTGGGCGCCAGGCATGCGTCACATGCCCTTGGCACAGCGCATTCCTCACCGTCGCCCACAGAGCAGACACGATTCTGTGCTGATGTTACAACTGAGGCCACTGGCGCTGGGCGATTTGAGTGACATCACAAGGTCATAGCAGCACAAAGTTGCAGAGTTTTTACCTACAACACCTGACTGCTTTTCTCAGGACAGTCAGAGCAAGTGAGGAGACAACACATGCCCTTCGACGTAAGGAAAGCCCAGGCCTGTAGAGAATGCTTATGAGTTCATTTGTGCCAAACTGATGAAAATTGCCAGGAAGCAAAATATCAATGGGTTGAGAAAATGCTTTGGGGAATGGCAGTTTTGCAGCTTCCTTTATACATTCCAAGTAAAGGAGGAGATGTGAGGGGGCGTTACATGAAACCCATTGGTGGAAGATTAAGGCGTGAGAGAAAGCAAAGCTGGGGAAATCACTGGGATTGGATAAAGAGTAAAATAGACAAACACTTCTTTTACATTGGTGGGTACAGTTAATAATGTCCACAGCACATAGAGATGGTATGAAGGGGACAAGGTAACAATGAGGGGTTGTGGTCTCACGGTCTGGTGCATTGGAGAGGTCTGGAAAAAGGAGATTACTCATACATTGCTTTCGTAGGTGCAAAAAGACAATAGACAGGCTTGTTTAAGGCAAAAATTGACCTTTGTCAAGGAAGCTATAGGCCTAAGTTGTGACTACCTGCCATGACTCGCTTTTAGTTAGGAATTTTCATGTTCAGACCATTCCATGTGGTTACTTTAAGTCTCTGAGTTGGTAAGGCCCATCACGCATGTCTCCCCTGAGTTGGTCAGATTTAGTACGTGGTCTCTTTTTCGTCCACAGCCCTTACTCATATTTTATATTTACTGAAATAAAAGACCAAGAAAGTAGAGTACAAGTGATACTGTTCATGTGTTAAATTCATAACTATGATAATTATACTATTAATTTCCATTTACCATCCCTTGACTAGAAGAAACTTCTTCAAGAACTCCTCTCACACAGTTCCAATGATGTTGTTATGATTTGTTTGATTTTGTTGCACATGATACGCATATAAAGAGGCATTTTTTTGGCCTGGGATTTGAAAAGGATTGTGTTTTGCATATGCTTGATTTGACTTGTGACTGTAGGGAACAGACTAGAGTTTGAAGGGGGGGGTCACATTTGGAGAAGGCTCACGTTGTGTGCTCTGCATTTAATGTGTATGTCAGGACCCGAAATTATCAATGAGAAAATGAACATAGCATCCTTCCCTCTCTAACCTGCCAAATTCTCCCCGTTCCAACCCCATTCAAAGAGAGAGAGAGAGAGAGAGAGAGAGAGAGAGAGAGAGAGAGAGAGAGAATTTGTATTAGATAGCAAAAAAGCTTGATTGTCTTACATAATGCAAGGTCAGAGCGGAAAAAAGTGAGGAAGGGAGAAAAGTAGAGAGGGAGAGTAGAGCCAAGAGCCTGTGTGAGCTCACCAGGAAGTGAGTATAAACAGAGAAGAGATGACATCCAAGCACTGAGTCCTTGGACTCCCTACAGTGAAAGGTCAGGAAGAGAAGGAGGGAAAGCCCCAGATAGACACCAGTTGGGTAAGAAGAAAACCAGTGAGCGTGGCTTCCTGGAAGCTGAGTGAAGAAATGGATCAAGAGGAGGGGTGACTGTCCAGGTCAAATGCTACTGATGCATCAAGGAAGATGAGGACGAGAGTTGACCTTTGGGATTTAGCAACATAAAAGTCACTGGTAATTTCAACAAGTGGTTTTCAGGGAGCGGTGGGGGGCAACGTTGAGTGGACGGTTTGGGAGGGAAAGAAAGCTGTAGAATCCGAAAGATTCTTCTGGCAATTCTTTCAAGGAGTTTTGCTATAAAGAGGAACAGAAATGTAGGATGGATGCTGGAGGAAGAAATGAGGTCAAGAGAGGGAATTTTTATTTATTTATTTATTTTTTATTAGAGATATAACAGCTTGTTTGCAGGCTGATGGAAAAGACCAGTAGAGAGAGGAAATTTTATCATCTAGGGAAGAAAGGGGAGAATTACTGGAACAATGCCCTTGCTTTGGTGAGAGAAGATAGAAAGTGAGCAAAGTGGACGGATGCGCCTTGACTGGATGCGCAGGTTTATCCGAGGGGAGAGGGAATCGGAGAGATGGGTGCAGATGCCGGGAGATGAGAGGAGGTGGTGGAGGAGTCTGAGGACATTCTCTCCTGATTGCCTTCTCGGTATCTGAGTGTTCATTGTTCCTATCGCAGCTGCCGAAGGAGCATTTCTCAAAAACTTATAAAAAATGAAACCTTGAGTTTGGAAATAACTAAACCATACAATGCAACGCATGTCCTTTATTCCAACAGAGGATTACCAGGAACTCATTGAAGACATAGTTCGAGACGGCAGGCTCTATGCATCTGAGAATCATCAGGAAATACTTAAGGTGAGTCGGTATGGAAGGTGTACTCGGCAGCCCGCCCAGGGCCCCACACCTTTGGAGGGAGCTCTCCTCTTGCTCCACGTGGCTGCCTTTCAGACACGGAGCCTGCTCTGGATTGAGCTTATTTTTTTTATATTTTCACCAGACTTTGAGTTTGCTTTTTTTAAACAAATTCAGGAAGCTGTCATGAATGTTGTCGAGTGTAGTTGTATTTTTCAATTTGGAGAAGTGTGGTAGAGGAGCAGTAAAAACCTTGCTTATCATTACAATACAAGCCAGAGGCAGATTGTGTTTTCATGTTGGTTCTCCAAAATAGTTGAAGATCCTTGGCTCTTGCTCCTTCAAGAGTGAAATTCACCAAATCTTAGACATTTATAAGTAACTGTCAATGAACACTTGCCACATCACTATCCCAATAAAAATTCCCCAAATTCCGTTTTTATATCTCATCCGGTTTAGAAAAGGAAAAGAGTTTTTTGTGTTTTTTTTTAACATTAAATTTTCCTTTATAAAAGCATTTCATGCTTTTTGGTAGATAATTAGGAAAACTAAGAACTGGGTGAGAAGATAAAAATCAGAGGAAACCATTTTCACAAAGTGTTTTTCAGCTGCTCAGCCTAACACTGGGTCATTATAGTTCCCTTGGCGAAATGTCAGCATGTTTAAATAATTTGGCCCAGTAACAGAAGTCCTGTTCTTTTCAGGATAAGAAGCTGATCGAGGCGCTGTTTGATGTCCTGGCCCACCCCCAGAACTATTTCAAGCACACAGTCCAGGAGTCCCGGGAGATGTTTCCAAAGTCCTTCATCCGATTGCTGCGCTCCAAAGTGTCCAGGTTTCTGAGGCCTTACAAATGAGCCTGCCCACGGGCACTCCGCCCCGCGCTCCGCCCGCGGGCTCACCGCGCTCCGCCCACGGGCACTCCGCACCGCGCTCCGCCCGCGGGCTGGCGGCCGAGCCGTCTGCGCCTGCAGCCAGCCTGGCCTCGCCTCGTTGGATGTCGCTGCCTCGAGCAGCAGTGACGGGTTAGGGTTCAATTTTTATAGGTAATACAGATATTTTGGTAACTTGGACTTGGTTTTCTCTCCCAGCGTGGTGGATGTGGACCGGGAATGGCTTTGGGTCTCTCCCACTTCTCACGGCTGTGGGCAGATGTCTTGGATACGCCCAGGGCTGGCTGAGCGGGACCTCAGTCAGCTCAGGTGAGACTCGCCTGTCTTTCCTGTTCTCACTCCTCCTCCATCGCACTGTGAGGGAAAGGAGGCCACGGAAGGGGCTGCCTTGTCTGTAACGTCAGCTTCCTCCAGCCCAGCCCTCCCTAAGGACCCCTCTGGGCCTGGGGTTCAGGCTCTGAACAGGCAGAGAAAGGAAGGAGGAAGGGAGGGACCATCCCCACACCTGAGACCTGGCAGGACTCCGTGTCTCCACGGCCTTCTCCTCCAGCCTGTGTGGCCTAAATTTGATCTCAGGAGCTTGAATTCTAAGCATTGATTATTTAAAAAAAAATAAAAATAAAAAAAATACTTAAAGCAGAAAGAATTAGAAATACAGAGCTAAAAACTGAGCACTTCCTCAGACATAATAACGCAGGCCCATTGACGCCTTCCTTGTGACTAACTCCCACCTGTAGCAAGTCCACAGCGCAGGTTCCAGCACCAGCTGTGCCTTGGCACACGGGCCTGGGCACAGTGTCCGGGCCTGGAGCATTCCGGTCAGAGCCATCTACCTTCATGGAAAGGGCAGTTCACACACCCTGAGTCAGGACTGCCGAGGGTTCTGTTTCCACAGTGGGCTTTCCCTATGGGTGTCCGAGGTTCAGGTGGGACACAGTGCAGACCAGCCTGCTAGGCGTGCCTTCCTTCCCCACGCTCCGAGGTCAGAGACGGACTCAGCTCCGACCACATGAGCAGCGCCACTGAGGGTGGTCTCACCTCCTAATGGGCACCCCACTGCCAGCAGCAGCTACACCGATCCCGGTTTCTGTATCTCAGGATCATCTCACCTCTGGTCAGCACAGCAGGGCCCCGCCATCATTTTCTCCCACAGGAACTCGAATTTTTGACATTACTGAATTTTAAAAAATGTAAACCTGTAGGCAAAAATCTCATTACAGTAAATAAAAATTATTTCTATCCAACAAGCTGCCATTTCCCTAATGAATGGGCTGACTGCACACAACCCTAGTGTGTTATTCTTTTGTAAAAACAAAACAAAACAAAACAAAAAAACAAAAAAACTAACTATACATACAGTTCTCTATACCAAAGTACTAAAAAAATGGTTAACAAATATTTTTTATTTGTATTTTTAAGACGTATGAAGAATAGACTTTAGAAAGCAGGCATGGAGGCAGAGAGAAGTTAACAAATATTTTTAGAGAAAATGAAGACTATTTCATTATTATTGGATCACTTTTCATCTCATTGCTTTGTTTTGTTTTTCAATCTGTTGATAACATCGATCTTTTTGAAAAATCCTCATCAAACGTTTCTTCTTTATTGGGATGGGCCCTAAAAACCCATTTCCCAACTTCTCTTCAAAAATGTAAACTTCTTTATTAAAAAAATAATAATAATAACCATTAAAACAAGCACCTGGCATTTGTAATACCGGAACTTTGCCTACATTTCTGAGTCTCCACATCAGAGGAAGAGTCAAATGTGATAGAACCCCAGTCAGTGGCCGGGTGGGTGTGGAGGTGGGGTGAGCTGAACCCAGCCATCCCTGTCCCAGCACAGCAGTGACTTTGTGCTCAGGGCTGCGCGTCTGTGTTGCTGACTTCATTCGAAGGGCAGGAATGGGAGGGAGGCTGCACAAACCCGGCCTCTGTGAAGCGGCCTCCGGGAGCAGGCCCATGCACCAGAGCTGAGCCCCCAGCAAACGCACGGGCCTCGGAGGCCCTCCGGAAGCTTCCGCTCCGGACCAGCCAGCCACCTGAGGATGCGGTGGTCCTGTTGGGAGGCTGGCTGGCTGGGGCTGCTCTTGCCACCTGCTAAATCCACTATTCACCAAACATCTGCTCTGGGCCTGGCACTCTTCTAGGCCCTAGGGATCAGTGACAAGACAGACAAGGTGCTTGCCTTCACGGAGCATACATTTTAGAGGGAAGAGACAAACAAATAAACCACCAATAGAAAGTATCAAGTTAATAGTAAATATTATGTTGGAAATGAAAATAAGTGAGTGCAACAGATGACTGTGTGTCTACTTTAGGAGTGTGGATTGTGGATGGTCTCTCTGGAGCAATGGCATTTCAACTTAAAACGTAAGTGGCAAAAAGGAGCCAGCCTTGGGAAAATCGGGGCGGGGGGAGAGGGGGAGAGGATTCCAGGTAGAGGAGAGCCACATGCCAAGGCTGCCAGGCAGGAACACGCGTGTGTGTGGATTACAGTCTGGTGAGATGGTGAGTGGTCAGAGAGGAGGCCAGGGTGAGACCAGGGGCCAGAGCACCCTCTGGCTTTTGAATCCAGAACTAGGCATTCGGGTTTAATCCTAGTGTGCTGTGAGGGTTTTAAGCAGAGGTGTGGCATGATCTGACTTGTATTTTTAAGACCGCTCTGTACGAAGAGCAGATTTTAGAAAGGAGGCATGGAGCCAGAGAACAGTTAACAAGCTATCGCAACCCACCAAGCCGTCATGCAGGTGGGAGATGAGGTGGTCCGGGTTAAGGGGATAATAGTGAAGATGGACTACACAAATGAACGTTCAAATAGGCACTTGGTTCTGTGAGGACCCAGAGAAGTCAGAGCCAGAATATGAATTTCAATGTCACAGAATAAAGACGTGGGCTGGTTGAGGTCACCTGGGAAAGGTGTGCAGACGAAAGAAGGCCAGGGAGCCCTGCATTCTGGGGCTCCTTGGGTGGCACAGGGACCAGGACTCGGAGGAGATGCTCATTAAGTGAACAGGAAGCGGAGTTTCACCTTCCCTCCGAGAAAGCGAATTCTGTGGGAGAACGCTGGGGAGTGGGAGTGGAATCTGCTCAAGTCCTTCCTTCCAGCTGTGGATATTGTTCTGGAGCCATTTGTGGATGCAGCAACGTTTCCCTTGAGTGTCCCATGCTAATAAAAGAGGGTTGGCCTCTTCACACTAACAGATGATTCTCTTCACTGTGGAAAATTGCTTGCTCTGAATCATTCTCTGGCTGTGAAGGGTGCTGTCTGCAGGCACTCACTGGATTTAGGTTTGCAGGTGATTTTTAAGTTGTCATGGAACTTGGGGAAGGGGCGGCTGTACCTCATGCAGCACAGACTCACTTGCCCGCGGGCTGGTCTTTGCAGGAAAATGCACCAGGGCTGCTGGGCCCCTGGGACACTCAGAAGCAGGGCCTCTTATCAGGGCTGTCCTACTTCCTGTCCCATAGCAGGATGGGTCCTGAGGCCTTACTCAGTCTTCGTCACTCTGAGTCTGTATTTGAGAGGCAGAGTGGGTTAGGGGAGGGTGGAGTGAAGCAGTCCCTCCCCAAGAGGCCTTGTTATCTGACTACTTGCTAGGCAAGCTCTCCTCCAAACCCAGATCCTGGGTGTGGCCAGGAGAGGCCCATCCACGGGAAATGAGAAGCCATGGTGAGCTTTCATTTCGGTGGCATCTCACTTACTCTGGGGGTTTGTGAGCCCAGGTCAGAGGTGTCCTGAATATTGGTGGTACCCCACTTCCTTCTCCCTCCTGGCAGTCCTGACCAGCCTGCAGGAGACCACCCTTATGGTCCAGCAAGGCTGCTTCAGTGATCGACAGGCACAAGGGCATATGTACTCAGCAGGGGTAACTTCCCAGAGAACACAGTAGGATCAAAATAGGTTTAGGAAATAAAACCACTCTTTTGGCTGAACTAAAGGGATACAAACTAAATATCTAAATATCTAAACCCACCTGCTGGGAACAATGCAGTAACTCAGCATGGCTTGGTTTTCAGAGTACCTCATTGGAGAATGCAGCCAGATGCCTTAGGAACTAGTAACTCTTTGTTATGTGTTTGTTCATTCACTTCTGTACCATATTTATTGAGGGCTTACGAAGTGCTAGGCACTGTAGGAGCTGGTGATACTGTAGTGAGCAAAATAAAGCCTCTGCTCTTGTGGAGTTTAAATTCTAGTAGAAGAAGACATAAAGTAAACCAACAAACATATGTTGTAAAGTCAAGTGCGATAACTACCATATTATAAAGAAAATAAGATTGAAAGGATAGAGGATGAAGAGGTGGTGAGAGGGAGCTGTTATTTTCAATAGAGTGAGTTCATAATTAGAGTCATGAACCAGGCCTCTCTGGGGATTGGCTCCTCAAACCGAGCCTGGCACCACTGGCCCCCTGGGAAGTTCCAATACCCACCTACGAGAATTTGACATTTCACCTCCCAGCCAGGAAGACCAAAGCTTCAAGTTGTGAACAGTCGTTTTGCAATTTCTAGAACAGGCGCCACCTAGTGGTTTTAAATGGGATTAACCTGTTTTTCATCGTCAAAGGGCCTTAGAGCTTAAATGCCCTTGGAATTTAAATGCCCATAGTTCAAAGACAAAATGTTACCCATGGGGTGTTGGGGACTAGGGTTGAGGTTTGACAATTGATTGCATGTTGTTTCATACAGACCCTCGGAATGTGTCTGTCATCTTTTCCATATCAGAAGTCATTTATTTAGGCCATTTTACACCATCAACGCTGTTTTGAATCATATCCAAACAAATGTATGCATGCACACACATACACCCCACATTCATTCTTTCATTCATTGTTATGGTTTAGGCACATGCTAGGCTAATTTAAACACCAAGTGGCCAGATTATTAAAAGGCTAATATAATAAAAGGCTAATATGCAAATTGTCCTCTCAACCAGGAGTTCCACCAGCAGGCAGGCTGGACAACCACCCATGTCCCCCTGGTCAGGCTGGCCGGACCCCACCCATGCACAAATTCGTGTGTGTGTGTGTGTGTGTGTGTGTGTGTGTAGCCGAGCAGCATTCCTACTGTGGCAACACACTGACATGAGGGGGCAGTTCCTGCATTGAGTGTCTGCCCCCTAGTGGTCAGTTTGTGTCATAGTAACTGGTCGACTGGTCATTCTGCTATTCGTTCACTGGGCTTTTATTATATAGGATGGGAAAAATTCACCCCAAATTGTAATCTTGCGTAAAATTCCACCACATGTAATTCTAAGAGCTCCCATATCCCACTGGCTTGGACCATCCTCTGATCCTATATTCCATCCTAGGACTGAAGGATGATATCCAGGCACAGTTTGGCATTTTCTGTCATTTCTCTACACAATGCATAAAAACAAACAAACAAGTCAGAAATACCTTCCTCAAATCTAAGCTTGGTGTTGGCTTTGCCTTGTACACACATTGTGGCTAAAAATAAATTAACTTTTAATTAAAAGTTGCTGAGCAGGAAATAGGACCGATGCCCCAGGGAGGACAGAGCCCAGCAGTGTGTGACTGATCCAGCCATGGCCCGTGGGAGTGTGGAGGGAAAGAGCGTGAGCTTGTGGTGAACCCTGGTCAGCCTGCCTGCTCAGCCCTCTGCAGCCTTGGGGGTAACTTACTGTGTGTGACCACAAACTGCTCACCAAACCACAGTATCAGTGAACTTGGATGTGTATGAGGCCTGTCCTGTCCAACATGAGCCCGGCCTGTCCATCGAATCAAACTATGGACAATATAGCAAGAACATGAGCCCGGAACCCCGATGTCAGATCCAGGTGGCTTGGCTTGAAAACAGCTCTTATTTATTTTCTGACT